CAGCACATAATCATTAAAACCAGGAAGAGAACAAATCCAAAGAATGCATGGCGTGGCATCTGCATTGCTAAAATAAAAAAATAACTGGTAATTACTATTCTTGTGCTGTCCATGGGGAATGGTCAGGAAGTAAATAAATTCTTTATGTTTCATACCCAAAATACATTAGCTAACAAATCCTTTAAATATATTATGTTGTCTAAGCACGTAAATATAGTAGTAATAAATAATATATATATATATATATATATATATATATATATATAAATAATGGTTAACATTAAGCCCAGAAACGTTTTAGGTTATCTTCTGATGAGAGTCAAAAGGTGCTCTTTGAAAAGAAATTTTTCATACTTCATTATCTGTGAAGTTTATGAAAATTTCGAATGTGTTATTACAGGTGCATACCAACTGTTATTTATGCTTATTTATAGCTTATTTACCGACGGTGTTAGTAGCTCAGACTGAACAGTGTCAAGTGATGTGATGGTTAATGAGTAATGAATTGGAAACAATGTGGAATGAAGCAGTTATGGTCCGTTTTTAAAGTGTTGTACCATTGTTTGTGTGGAGGGCCTGTTAATCATCCAGCCACAACGTTTGGTCCCACTGTTACATAGTAAGTAGTAGGCACAAAAGCAGATGGAAATTATTTTTATTTTATGGTTATGTTTATCATTTGTGCTGACCGAATCCACGTTTAGGATTTATTAATTTATTACTCAGTAATTTAAAAAGGGTTTACAATACGATGTAATGAACGAAAATTCAGTTTAATCTCTTCTGTTCTAAATTAGTTTATAGTTTATGTGAATACAAAAAACACGAATTCCTTTATTCAAGTATCAATAGATGGCAGTACAGTTTATTTTCTCTGATGCAAAAAAGATTAGGTCGGAGTTGGGGCGATCATAGCAGTCTTAGCCGGTGTTCAGAGATGGCGTTAGTAAAATGGAATTGGTATGTCAAATACGCCGTTATATACGGGGCCAAATGAGTGACGCAAATCCACTATACGCATAAACTATATATAATTACGTTGTAGGCCTACACAATTTGGAGCCTCCTATCTTAGTTATCTATAAGATTTGTTAACTGAATATGTCAACATCAGTGTAAGTTTAGATGTCGTCTTCATTATTGACTTGAAATAGGTCAGCTATGTAGGTACTGACTGAATTGAATGTACATATAACCTCGTGGAGTTTTACGGATGTTATTTCAGTCATCTGATGCTTTCTCGGGTGTTTCAATACACGAACACTGGCCATTACTTGAACTCCCTTCCTCAGTAACACTGGAGTGTTTCTCTATAAGCAGAATTTCGAAGTCCTGCTACAATTAGGCAAGTTTTCCCCGGTTTATCCGTGGCATCCCAACAGTTATTCCATACTCCATACACACAGAAGAAGGCAATGGCAAACCACTTCTGTATCACCTGCCTGAAAATCGCTGTGCCACTGTGACGTAATCTTAAAGCTCTACCCATTAGAACACATGAAAGCCTGTCGTCTGTTGTTCGTTCAGTGGTTGTGGAACGAATGCTTTTAGGATCGGTCGTCACTCGTCGCGAAATCTTGCGCATGCGCATTTAACGAATTCCTAGCAGGGATTTTCACCTGGTCTACGGACTGTATATGAACAGGTCCCAGTCCTAGAAAAGGATGGAAGGATCCTGTTCATAATATGTCGCCAACCTCCTGTAAAGGAGACATTCCACGCCGAGTGGCGTACGTTACGTATCGTATACGATAAACCATAACGCATATATACTTTATAATAAAACGTATTGTATAGACCAGTTGTATTCAATCTGGGGTACGCGTACCCCCGGGGGTACGCGAAGACAACTTAAGGGGTACGTGAAATTTTAAAAAAAAGTATTTTATTTTATGATAAACACTGAATAATGAGTAATGTAATTTATTTAATTTATTTTAGATGTAGATTATATACTATGTATAACTTGAATTATAGACGAACATCTTTGGGGGTACAAAGTTGGAAGAGAAATTATATCTGGGGGTACGCGAACAAAAAAGGTTGAATACCACTGGTATAGACTATTCGACGTTTAGTACGTGGTTTTAATGCTTTAAAATGGCTTATAACGTATACGATACGTATCGTAAAAGCTCAGGAATGCAAGAAAGACATAACGAACAACTTCTCGGAACGGAACTCGTACGTAAATCGAGAGTTGCCTGTAATGTGAAACCTTGTCTTTCACGTTAGAGAACTTTAAGAATAGGATTCTTAGAAGAATATTTTGACATAAGAGTCTAGAAGTGACAGGAGACTACACAAAACTGTAAAATATTGAACTCCATAGTTTTAATTCTTCGCCATATTTTTATCAAAATGGATAAATCAAGAAGGGTGTGTGTATTTATATATGAGGATAATATTAAAATGGATCTTATGGAAATAGGATTGATGGGTGTGGATTGGATTTATCCGGTTCAAATGGTTATGATTCTAGACAGGTGAGATGTTCTTGTGACCTTAGGGTTCAATAAAAGGCTGGGTATTTCTTGAATATCTGAGCGTGATATTAGATTCTAAAGATGGACTCTGTTTCATAATGTTCGTTGGGAATATAATTCGTAAGCAATAAGATAGAACATCTTCGTCCTTTGATCTTATTGTAAACTGTTCGGATCTCTTTGGAAACACTTCCAAAACTTTTTCGTGTATGCATCGAAATTTGCATTCTTAGCCTCTGGTGTGTCGTAATTTAATTAAATACCACGCTTCGGTCTTCTACATCTTATGTCGTTTGTTGAAAGGCTTCGTAGATAGAGAATCTATCGTGTGACGTGTATAAAAGAAAAACCGTTCTTGCATACATGTACAGTTCACGTGTCATATTCTCTTTTGACACAAAGAGCTCAGAATATAAGAGAACACGGTTACTATCCTAGTTTGTAAGCAATATTAAATGTCTCCAAGAAATATCCTTGCGTAACTTCAGATTCGGCAGATTATAATTCGCCTATGATCCCTTCAACCAGTTTATCAAACCCTCTAAAGCAGAGATCTATACTCTAGCTCACTACACAGAAAATACTATAATTATTATATATTAATTTTTGTCCGTCTAATCACAATAATTCTTATTAAATATTAAAATATTACAATAGTTAACATTTTAAATATTTAAAATATTAAATGATGTTCTTTATCGAAATATTCGATTTACATTAACCATCATTTTTCATGTTTCAAAAAAATTAATATATACTTATTATATCACAATATGACGCAACTTTACCATCTTACTATAATTATTATAAATTTATTAATTTATTTTATCTTTTAGTGCCCGAGGCGTTTTGGGAAGAAAATATCGAGACTCTATAAGACAAAAGTGTTTACAAACTGTTAAAATACAGTTTTAGTAAACTTACGTATCATATTAATAAAGGTATTTATTCGTAATTTAAAAATTAAAAAAAACTTTTCGTCTGATTGAAGTCATAATCACACTGAATACACGTAAGTCATGAAATAATAGAAGTTTTAATAAATATCTCGTCGGTGTATGGAGAAAATAAATTCAACTTCTGCTTTATCACCATTCGATACGGAGAATTCAGGGCCTTACCGCAAAGAAAACAACTTTTTTCCATTACAGAGAGTGAGAATTGTGTGAAACCCGTAAATAAAATAAGAAGAGATATTGGTTGTTGAAGCAAGAGTTATATGTAGAGACCATTGAGCTTTGAAGGGTTAGACACCAGACAAGTTAAATCACTTTTGCACTATTGGCTAGCAACGGAATTCCGGTTGATATAGACGTTTCTCAGTTAACCGACAGACAGGTTTGAAACAGAGAGAGAAGGTTTTTCATTATATCAAAAAATAAGAGGTTACGTTACGGTTGAGTAAGCTAAGCTACCACAAGGAAGTTTATATCTTCATTTCTGGCTGGATTTGACAGTAAAGAGCAGATTTCTTACACCTGTAAGCACATTATGATTCGAGCCTGCTGTAATGGTTATGTCGTATGTACGCCTATATCATTTCTCTAGAGATATCTCGTGATTTCTCGGGCGATGTCTCGTGATTTCTCGAGCGATGTCTCGTGATTTCTCGAGCGATATCTCGTGATTTCTCGAGCGGTATCTCGTGATTTCTCGAGCGATATCTCGTTATTTCTCAAAATATACTGATATTCGAGGTCACTTAAGCACATACAAAGTTTTGTTATAATGAATGATAATGAACCAGAAAGTTGTGTAAAATTGGAGTCTAGGTACCGCCAAACTTACGTGTGCGCAGAATATTTCTAATCGAAAGTTCGACCGCCTCGAAGTTTATTTCTAAATACGTCACGCAAGCTTCCGCTAGAAAGAGTTGTCTAAATTTCCTATTAAATCAAGTCTCACTTCAGTCCACCTGGTAGTTAGAAATTGTAGTGGGTTTAGAAGCAATCTCAAACTTTACATTGGCTTTATTCATAGCTGCTTCTTTGTGTAAGGAAATTTATTGAGTTTCAGAGAATAAACATATAGTTGGAGTGAAGTTGTTGCTGTAGGATTAAAAAATCATAACGTATGGAATAAAAGCATGAACATCCATGCCAGCGACTTTAGTGTTCTGTCTGACGACAGGTCCATATGAACAGGATCCTTCCATCCTTTTCTCGGACTGGGACCTGTTCATATACGTTCTTGGCAGATGATCCAGAAGTGGTTTGACATTGC